CCCCCCGCTTGTGTCATACTAAAAATATTTCTGGGGAAAATGGCACCACCGGTGACATCTCTAATCTGAAGCAGGTTCTTTATTCCCAGGTTTTGGCGGGGAGGATCCAGATCAGTGGTTCTCAATCTTGGTCGCGTTTGCAAAGATGGATTTGGTTTGTCCCAAGCCACAGCCTCGGCTCCCGACCGCCTTCCCTTCCCCCCCGTGCCGATGAGCGTCTGCCTCCTCCACATGGGTGCACACCCCAATAGTCCCCTCTACCCCCCGCTCCCCAACACTGACCTTCATCTGACTGCCTGACCCAGCCTCGCTACGTGCTGGCCGTGTCCTGCCGGCCTGTAAGGAGCAACCCACACTTTTGTGCATTTTTCTGGCACTTGCTTCCGACCCTTTGAAATATTCTTGTGACCCGTTTTTTCCACGGGTTGAGAAACCCTGATCTAAAAGATGTAGTTGGGGACGGTCCTGCTTTGAGCAGGGGGTCGGATTGGACCTCCCGAGGTCGCTTCCAACCTGAATTTCCTCTGGATCCATGATCCTGTACTTGCTAAAATGTAGTGGGAGTTTGAGAATAAAGCCCTTGCCTTTAGTTACTGAATCAGGTATAAACTATTAATAAAAGATTTGTTTAAAAAAAAAATCAATGGCAGGCAATACACAACATCCAAAGAAGAGGTGGAGGGGTACAGTGGTTTCCAAGCCCTGATTTTCCTCATAATTAATAGCTTGAGGGTCTTATCTTGACCCATGTAGCTTTCTCCTGCACTGCTGCTGCTCCTATTAGCAGTGCAAATGGTCTTCTCCTTAGCTGTTTTTGCTCAATTACAGGGTTAAGTCTTGTATTGGTTGATGTCATGCTGACCTGTCTGATGTATATAGCATTTCTTCTATACCATGTAGGTAATAATTTAAAACTGCACTCTTATTTTAAAGAGAGAAAATAAAGATCTTTATGCCTGTTCTGTGGTAGCTTGAGTTTCCCTCACTTTCTGCACATGTCTTCATGGGGATTTCAAAGAAAGGTAAGCCAATTAACTGAGTATCTGAATTTAAAGCATGCTAAAAATGAAACAAACTTACTTTGGAAATGAGTTAAGGCTTTGTTGCTTCTTAATAAGAACATCCACCCAGGGATTTTAGGTGCTTTAAATTCAAGCATCAGTTTGGCTTAATTTTCCTGTGTCCCTGTGTAGATGTGCTATCAGTTACCAGTAGCGCAGTGATGAATCTGGCATGGTGCACCGTTTGCTTAATCACAGGATTTTTGTGTTCAAAGTTCAGATGTTTGAGGCTACTCCAAGTAGGATTAGTTATTAAGTCTCTACAGTGTGTGGCTCTGAATTTATTTATAATGTTTGTTATTCCCATGCTAGGATAGGAAGAAAAATTCTTCTGTTGTTTTTCATATGTAACCAAGAACAATCTGTACCCTATTCCCACCGTTCAAAATGCTCGGCTCTCATTTGGATCTAGACTGCATCTGAATTTTTAATTGTTTAAAGATCACATTTTGTTATACTTGTGAGTTTGGGCCAGATTCAGGAAGGCATTTAGATGTCTGGAAACATGTCTTTGAATCTGGCATGTGACAAGCTGCTTTGTCTGCATTTGAAATGCATAACAAATGTGTTCAGCTTGAACTGTGAACTGCTTTAGTCTTGTGTCTTCATGGTTCAGTGACAACTTCCACGTAGCCAATGGAATTCTGATTACCCGCAGACCCTTGTTTCTGACCTAAAAAGAAAAATCTTATTTCCTTTATGTCGGGTCACATTCTAATGAGTGTTGTACATTTTGCTTTACATTTTGTTTGGGCTTTTTGATAGGTACTGGTATTTTGTGGGAAGTAATCAAATATTTTTCCCTGTTACAGCAAAATGTTAACAAATATTTTCTATAAAACTAGTAATCTTAAAAATTTTAACACTAGTTGACTAAACTTGCAAAAAAATTGTGAAAACATTAAAATATGCAAGTCTTTGCTCCAGGAAAAAACAGTTCTCAGGGACCTGTTGAAGGGAAGGGGTTGAAACGGATTATAGACCTGTATATTAGCAAAGAGTTTGGGATTAAAGACAAGGGGGAGGAAATGTCTTTAGATAGAATTTCAGGAAAAAATGTTCAATATAAGGAGATTTGTTCCAGATGGCAACGTGGAAAGAGCTTTTGGTGGGGAGATTAAGGATAGAATTTTTAGTAAGAGAATAGAGTACATTTAGAAGTGAGTGAGAATTCCTTTTACGAGATTAAACTTTTTAAGAGCTTTATTTGATAAATTAGATTAATTAGTAACAGGTTTAATACTTAAAGATGCATCCAGTCCCCTGCTGTAAAAAGACACATTTGGTTTCCATCAACAGTACTCCCTTAACTCAAATCAATGGCCACAGAAATCTGGTGTTCTTTTCTTTTCTTCCTTTCAGTCTCTGACAATTTGTTTCTGTTGATGTTAAGCTTCTGTTTTTCATCTTCTCTGTAATTCACCCCTTCTTTTTCCCTAGAACGCTGCATAATCCAAATCTCATTATTTTCTACTTACATTTAAAATGTAAAAGCAAACGTATTTCAAGTTTGGACTGGAATTTCCACTGAACTTCCAGGGAAACATCTTTTTTATTATTTTTATTGTTTCTTCTCTGTAGAATGCTAATTTGATAGGACATTTTCCATTACTAAAACTCCCCTAACATTTAGAGGTGCAATATCGGATCCACACTGATATAAAGAAAATTGGCTGTATTGGAAATCGGCCTGATGTGGCTGATATGTAGGCCAATAAATGCCCGTGTATGCGCACAGCCCAGCAGCGTGGAGAGCTGTGTGCAGCTGGTAAGTCCATTGTGGTGGAAGGCGAGGGGGGAGGGAAGGAGTGGGGAGGGGCAGATCAAGGCCCCTGCAGTGAGGTGGGGAGTGGGGCAGGCGCTATGTAGCTGGGGCGGGGTGTGGCATGGGATGGAGCTGCA